AGCAGTGCTTGTTCAGTGCTCTGCACGCACAATATAAATATATGTATATATAGATATATATAGTAAGTAATAATCTGTAAGTAGTACTACTAGCACCAATAGTGATGGAGAATATGAAAATATTATTAGGGTTTCGCTAAAGGTTGGTTTGTGACTAGTGCTCATATAATTATAAACAAACTGCAGCAGTAAACAATCTAAGAGCATGGCCACCTTAATACTTTATGACAATTAATATGATAATTTAAAAATAAAAACTGAATAGTTGTTATTTATAAGTAGAATTATATACTTTTTGTTTTTTTGTTTTTTTTGTTTTTTTAGGGTTATATCTATCAATATATTTTGAACACTTTCAACAGCTACTATTTTTTCTATTAAGATTGGGCAAAATAAAAGAAAGTATTTGGATATGTAGAGATATATATGGTGTGATATATAGTACCTGGAGGCCAAGAGATTGTTCGAGATTGGGGGCATTTTCCTGGACAACGGAAGGGCCAGCAGCAAGAGGATCAGGGTTCTGGACTTGGTTTGTTGGAGTGTTGACTTGATGATCATTGTCCTCTTCAAAGGAGATATCAGATAAGTCAGAAGGGATGTCTTCAATCAAAGCCTGGTAATTGGGTGGTGGAAGGTTGTCCAGATTCAGGAAAACACCGCCCGATCCAAAAGCCGGATCATTGTTGTCCACCACATCGCCTAGCTCATTATCAGCATTGTTGTTGTCGTTGTTGTTCTGGTTTTCTCTTCCCAAATTCGCCAAACGGTATTGCGGCCGTGGCGGGGGCGGAGGAGGAGGCAGCGATCCGTTGTCAACATTCTGTTGCCGATGGTCGATGTTGGGCAAAACTTGCGGTGCCTGCGGTGCGGCCGGCGGGTTGTTTGCACCCTGAAACCCACCAGAAGCGGCCCCAGCTCCACCAGCTTGACCATAGCCAACATTACCACTCCCCATATTTCCCACTGGCACACCATTCATAATGTTGCCACTAGGCCCGGGGCCGTTCCTCATTCCAATTAGGCGGCGGCCGCCTGTACCGTTGATTCCATTTGGAACCCCGACACTGGCCGGTAATTGATTGTGTCCAGCCATGTTACCCCCGATCATGTGAATTCCAGAAGAGTTGTTTGGTGCCACATAATTGTTAGCAGGTGCCACATTGTTCCCAACAGTACCAGGAGTACTATTGTTGTTGGACGGATAAGTGGTACCGGCGAAAGGTCCCACTCTCGCTTGATTCTGCTGCTGCCATGCTTGCATCGGGTTCACCCCGACGGAGAAGCCGTTGTTTCCGCCATGATTCACAAAGGCATAGGAAGTATTAGGCCCACCAGTACTAGCAACAACATTTCCACTAGTAGCAGCAGCGTTGACGTTGGCAGCACCAAGCAGTGGTTGCTGCACAACATTCGCCGGGGCCGGTTGGTGGTTGGTGAGTAGGGTTGAGATTCCGACTGGTCCGGCTGATGATGGGATATTGTTGCCGTTGTTGGGTTGAGATTGAGATTGAGATTGAGATTGTTGTGCAGGTGGTGGTGGTGGTGGAAACAACGATTGCTGAGATGGCCTGGAAAGTTGAGGGTAGAGTTGCTGCGCAGTTTGCAACATCATCTGAATCGGATAGCCGGAGGCGAAGCTCGACCGGAGCAAGATCCTGTCGGCCAACATCCTTGAAGCACCCGACGTACCGTTCTCCGCAACCTTTTTCAGGAAGAGCCGATATTTCTGCGAGTCAAGGCATTATTAACTATTATTTGAGTGGAATAATATTAAAGAAACATAACCAAAAATGTACACTGATAGTATACAATATTGGTAAACAGAATCCGATCAAGGAATTCTTTTAGCACGATTATAGAATTAAACATGATACGACATTGTCTTTTTTAGTATTAATCAGTATGAAATTCTATACTCTAACTGCATATGTATTATTTCATGGCAAAGAGAATATTGCTGTAATATACCGGATATCCGAAAGTGTGTATTTGTGAATTCTTATTTATCATGGAAAAATAGTGTGTATATCCGAAAAAGAAACAAATTATTTACTTCTCAAAATGCAATTAACCTATGCTTTCAAGGGGAAAAACCAAAATATGTCCAAAAAATAAAAAGGAAAAAAATCTTGTAAAATTCGAGTCAATGGTAGAGTAGAAAAATTTTCTTTTACAGCGGGGCACTATAAAAAAAAAAATTAGAGATAGTTTTTATTGAATGGAGATTTCAACTATTAAGTAGGGCACAACTATAATTTGTCGGGCACAATAACATATTTCGATTATAAAGTAGGGGCATAATAACATATTTCGATTATTTAATAGGTCACGGTTATAATTTTTCTTATAAAATAGGTGCACAACTAAAATTTTGAAAAAGTAAAAGACAATTTCTATTTAAATATTATTGAGTGGAGATCTTATTATAATTTTTTTTTGTAATTCAATAAGGGCACGATAATATATTTTAATTACTAGATAGAGACACGGTTTAACGTTTTACATATATAAAATGGAGGCACAACAAAAAATATTAATAAGAACAAAAGGCAAAATTTAAAAATTAAGAGAGATCACATGCCCCAATAATCACTATTGTTTCTAGTACTGTAATAATCAAAGACATAAATGATTAAATTCCAGTGAGAAATTATAATTACCTGCAAATGACTAGCGACATTCTCTCTGGTCAAGCCAGGCACATTCATGAACTCAAGAATCCTCTTAGGAACAGCCTCTGGAAAAACAGTAAAAACACACACGGATATATATCAATAAGTAAACAAAACAATGAAATAACTAAGCATTTGATTAGTGTATTCATATCATGATTTGAATAATAATTTGTAATTTATTATAATATTTTTTTGTACACATAAATTAAAAATAATTCTAAATTTATGAACTAAACGCCCACTAATATTTTTGTACATGAATCAACCAAAGGGCAAATCAACGAAATTCACACTTACTGTCAAAGCTCAAATGCTGTACGGCAAGCAAGAAGCGATTGTGAAGCGAATTAGTCCAAACCACCTTGGGCCTCCTCGGCCTGCGACCGCGTCCTGGAGTAGTACCGGCCGGCCTGTTTTCCGGCCTGCAGCAGGACTTCTTTGTCGAAGTTGATCCCTTATTTTTGCCATTATCATTTGGTGGCGGCGATCTGCCACCTCGCTTATTCCCAGGTTGGTTCCTCGGGATCAGAGCGCCCGCCGTGGCCGAAGAGCCCGCATTCCCAGACGAGCAAGAACTCCCTGGCCCGGAAGGCGACTGATGACCTTGAAGATCATCATCATCATCAAATGCAGGAGGAATAATGGGGTTGCTTCCTATCTCCTCAATCACAACAGATTTGCCCTTCTGAGTCCTAACCGCGTATTGCCATAAGTCCTTCAGGTCAGTTGGGTTCACAGGCTTCGGTATGAAGAGTGCAATTCCGCTTTCCAAGCTCTGGAGCATCACATTCTCTTGGTCATCAGCCGTCATCACTGCGCAATCGTAACAAAAAAAACAAAAACAAAAACAAAAAAATGTTTGACGTGAATATATTCTCACAAGGGAAAAAAAAATGTGTACGGAATATGGTACTTTACGAGTACTGCAAATGGTACTCACATATAACAGGTAGCTTAAACTCTTTGTCGACTTGCTTTTTCAATTCAAAGCCATTCATGTAAGGCATGTGGAAATCCGTGACCACGAGATCGAAATACCCGCTTTGCATTCGGAGAGTTGCCAATGCGTCCAGAGGGTTCTTCGCAGTCTCAACTGAAATTTAAGGCAAGATCAGAGAAAGATCATCATTAGTTAATGGTATATATAAACTATACATATTATATATATATATATGTGCGTGTGTGTGTGTGTGTATGTATGTATGTGTGGGCGCGCGCTGAGTACTGATGGACGGAACATGTTAATTAATCAAGTAAAGAAAAAGTACTAATTAATGAGAGAGGGTATAATCATATGGTCTCGTTCACTTCGCGGATTCGAGTTTTTAATTCGAGTTGAGATGTGACATTTTCTGAGAGCTTTTCACTGTAGTAGAAAAAGTTGATATGACATTTTCTAAGAGCTTTTTACGGTAGAAACTTAAAACTGAAAACTCGAATCGGTGAAATGAACGAGGTCATAATATGTTCTTTATGTTAGATATATAACCATAAATTAGAGGAAAATTGAAATGAGATATATCGAGGGAGTGGAAAAGAGTTTTTCTCAATTCCTTGTGAATATCTTTTATATAGAAGACTTATGCCATTAGCATAAGCCAGCATAGAACTCCTGGATCGATCTAGGAAAAGAAAAAAAAATGTAAATATATAAATCCAAGTAAAGCAAATCACTAGCCAGATCATGAGTACAATATGATAACATCTAAAAATAAATTGATTAAGATGAGATCTAGTAAAAAAGGGATAATATGCCAATAAAATATTGATTAAGAAATAAGGTTCCGCTATAATATGAAAGGAGAAGAGCGATCAAGAGACGAAAAAAGAAAAAAAGAAAAACAAATCTCTTAAAGTAGGTAAGAGCCAAATCAAAATATTTCATATATGCAAAGAATCTCCATTATTGAGAAAACTCCCTTTGCACATTTTGAACTTTATCACTTCGGCTTTTTATAAATATAGAAAAAATAGAAAATACAAAAGAGATCTCTCATATAATATTATATAACCATTGGAAATCCATCCGTGTGTGTCTATATAGACACATACATACATATATAGATCCTCGATGATCATGAGAAGGAGATTAACAAAGACATAATCTGGGGAGGACAAGGAAAAACAAAAGAAAAAGGGAATACTATATAATGCATTATCAGAGGTAAAAGGAAAAAGAATGAGAAAGAGTTAAAATACAAAAGTCAAGCACAAATCTATAAGCAATAGATGTTGAAAAGGCTAAATATATGCGAGACAAGTCAAACTCGAATAAGAAAAGGCTGAATGATGATCTAGTGATCATCTGTGGCAAAAATGAATAATCAAAATGTCTCAAAGAAATGCCTTTGATTTTTGTCATGGAAACAACGCTTGGGAATAATTAATCCTAGCTGTTTCCGACCAAATCCTTTTGTAACCAAAACCAGATTTACAAAAATAAATATGAAAACAAACAAAGATTTGCTAGATCTTTTTTGTTAAAGAAAAAAAAAATCTAGTACCTTTGTAACTAAATATTTGAAGAATAGATGAGACTATAGCAAGAGTGGTTGAATCATCATCCACAACCAAGATACGAATGTCTATGGAAGGGCGTACTTGAGCATCAGAAGATTGCCCTATGCCACTCATAACCCTCGCAGAATCCATGTTCGGATGAAATTGAAAGTGCTTTGAAAAGGAGAAAGTGGTGTGAAAACCACTCAAAGGAGAGCGTTTTATATAGCACAAAGAAAACAGCTTTAGTCAATACAATGGTGATACATTTGTCATATAACTGCTTCTTATATAGACTTGAAAAGGAGACGGTCTTATCTTGAGAGCATTTCCACTTTTTTTTTTCCTTAAATTCAACAAAAAAATAAATAAATAAGATATTATTTGCGCATCTCCTGAAAATTTACATTTATAATTAATGTCGAAAATCCAGTGCAAAAACTGACATTTATTGCAATTTACCAAAAGTGGGATAGGTTCTTACTTGGACTTGTTTCTCTATTTCACAATCTTTCAATCGAGTGTCTCTCAAGTTATAAACTGAATGTAATGTTGGTTTCACTTTTTAATATTATTTCAATATTGAATAGAACTTGTGTGATATAAGGAGGTACTACTGTTCGTTAATTTTAAGATAGTTTGCATTGCCCTAGGAAATGCTTAATTTGTTGACGGTGAATTATAGAAAGAAATGAATTAAAAATGATTTTCTCACATTAATACTATCTATATTTATTAAAAAATTAAATATTTAATGTATGTTTTTTAGAAATATATATTTTGATAAGGAACTGTTTGCATGAAAAAATACTAGTTAAAGATTAAATTGTGTTAGGAAAAAATAAATAATTAGCTTCTTTCAAACTCAAGGCATGTGATTTATGAATTGTGCATGCCCTAGCAAAAGTTTACGAAAACCATGCAGAGAGACGACAACAATACATCGATTGCGGCGATTAAGTGCCCTAATAACCAATCATTAATCTTTAATGCATAATAGCTATGCGTCGTAAATCTATTATATAACTTTAGGTTTGGTACACATTTATTTAGATTGGAAAAATAATTGAAATTTAATATAGAATCTTTATCCCAATAAGTGTCGTGCAGAAAATTAAAGAAAATTTTGGAGTGAAATGTAACTATTCTTTTATTGAAAAAAGAATAAAAGGGAGAAAATTGAACAGAAAAAAGGAATTCATCACTTTTTATTTGTTCATGAAGATAGGGATCGCGTTGAGCAAAATAAGTCCGAAAGGAAGAAGGAGCAAAAATGAAATTGAAAGTTACTAACTTTGGAGGGAATAGACATGTTAAAAGTGGAAAGTGTTAGCCAATTGCTTAACACTACTAATTGGGCCAGTTAAATGGACTCTTGGGCTAAGCTTAATGGATAGAGGTGGGCCCACATTTTTTTTTTTTTTTTGAGAAAACAAAGAAACTTCTCAGAGTGTTCCTTTTTTTTTTTTTTTTTTGCCCTTTTAGAATAATATCCTTCCGAAGTTTGACCCAACTTTTTCATGAAAAAGAATTGTTATGAAGTGTGTTTTTATTACATAGTTAAAAGCAAAATTGCTACCATATTTTATTTTGTTTCCATTTCAGGCTATCTCACTCGGTGCAAAGTTTAAAAATCCAGAGTAGTGAAAACTGGGTTCCGCCCATAGTTTGAAAAACCACTTAATTAGATGAAAGTAAATCAATTTCATATGACAATGTTACCCCTATATTTTACTTCAAATAACTTAACTGTCCTAACCGTTGATTAGAGATAATAATGGAAACAAATAAACGACTGATTGCAAGTCAATATGGGTTCACAAACTCTAATCCCTATTTTTAACTGAAAGTTGATGTACCATCATCAATTACTACGGGGTTGTTCTTTTGTCCAAAAATTTAAAAAAAAAAACAACTCGAGTTTCAACTTTATTCAAGTTCATATTCTTTTAAATTTCAACTTTATTCAATTTTACTCAATTTTATTCAAGTTACAACTTCAACTCAAGTTATAACTCAAATTTAACTCAAAAACTACACTTAAGTTACACTCTAAAAAACAACCCCTACATTGCTTCACCCTCCTTGCAGATTGTGTTTAGTGACATGGCTTTGCTCTTGGATATTTATTTATTACAGATTTATCCCACTTTTAGTCTCAAGATATTTTAATTTAACACCATAATCAGATATGTACATGTGTGAACACACACACACAGACACTCCTGTGAAACAAAACCACTCATAATCACAAAATACCAATTTGTCACATAAACCTCGGCAAGAAAAAAACCAGATCTTTTTGCCGACCGAATAATGTAATTTTACCATAATGGTGTCATAATCTTCAAACTCCTGTTTTAACTTCCTTGGTCTTTTAGATAACAAAGTCATTTCCGAACTTAGGACATGTGTACACTTCTTAATTGTGGCAACTCAAAATTTTGTAATATTCCTCATGCAGGAGACAAGAAAAGTATTTATTGGACCCACTTATTCTTACGTAGCACCACTTGGAACCCATGCATGAATGACTACATGAGACTAATCCAATATGCAATCTATCGCCAATCGCTTTTCTGCGGTCAACTAGAGTTTATCCTTATACGCGTTAGTAAGAATTACACTATATAATTAAATAACAAATTTATGAGAGTGCAGATAAAATATAATAAATTTTTAAAAATAATTCACTGATTCATACTGATTATTTTATTGATACTCATATTTATATATAAATTATAAAATGAGGTAGTATACTTTATGGTCTCGTTCATTTCACCGATTCGAGTTTTCAATTTTAAGTTTCTACAGTAAAAAATTCTCAAAAAATATCACATCTAACTTCTTTTGCTACAGTGAAAAGCTCTTAGAAAATATCACATCTCAGCTCAAATTGAAAACTCGAATCCACGAAGTGAACGAGGCCTACATTTAACACGACTAATAACATTTTACTATATGTCTAAAAGGCGCATTACATAATTGTTTATTTTTTGTATTTACTTCATATTACATAGTTGTAAGTCATGCTTATCTTCTTGTCGGGGTCCAATGCCACTGGGCCTAAAAGGACCAATATCCTTAAAAAGAAGTGGAGAAAAGCATTACCAGGATTCATACTATGCCCATTAATACACCTGGAATCACAACGAAAAACGAACGGTTCATCTAACATTGCAATAGATACCCTACAACAAAAAAATTATTTGCGACAATGCAATGTTATCGCAAAAAACTATATTTTCGTCATAAATATTATATTTGTGACGATATATTATCGTAAATTAGTTGTCATAAATAATATATTTATGACGACATAGTTTTGAGATGTCGTTACTAATACATTAGCGACGATGATCGTCGCGAATAAGTCGTCACGAATGTTCCGTCGAACATGTCGTTCATGATGACGTGTCCTAACTTATTTGCGATGACATATGTCGTCGCAAAAGTTTTTAAAACCTTTTGCGGCCATAGGCTTCAAAGTGTCATCGCTAGTAATGTGGACTATTTGCGACGACATTTTAGATTAGTTGTTGCAAAAAATATTTTTTTACCGTACTTTCCTAATAATATTAATTATTAAATATATAAATTAGAAGAAAATTTAACAATAAAATTGATATTTGTTAATAAAAGATTAATATAAAATAGTCAACACAATAATAAAATAAATCTAAAAAAGTAAATTAGTCAAGAAATACTAAAAAGTATTGATAATAAGAAAAAAAATAGATATTTAAATCTCTTAAATTAGCAATATCGTCGTCCTCATCCTCATCTTCTCTGTTTCGCTCAGGCGGCGGAGGAACCAACGGTTGGGGACGGTTAACTGACAAGAAGTTAATGTTGAGATTCATCAAGCGCATGACGTCCATCATGATCTACTGGTTGTTGAACATGTTGCATTGCTCCACATAGAGGTTGAACCGAAGATGACCCGTCCGATTACGAAGCAGATAATGAGCTTGAACGATTCTTCCGTGGCAGTGTCGGTCTCACTTCCTTAATGTGTCCTCTGCGCTTGCCCAAGACTTAGGACATAATCCCCTCCTCATTGACCGTCGTGGATGAACCTTCGTCAACAGATTATGTCATCTGCGTGGTTCTTTCCCCTCCATCTGAGCCTGCAAAGGTAAATGAAATAAAAATAGTATAATATGTTATGTTAAATATGAAAAAAGAAATAATTACTTACAAATGCTTGTTCCGCGTCCAGATTGACAAAATTCTGCCCATGACGGTGCATGTCTCCCCAATTGTCAATTAATGATCTTAGCTCCTGGGTCTCAGGATTTGCCTAATCAAGTTGAATGTGTTAGAATAATTATTAAGCTAAAGTGACAAAAACTTAACAAGTATGCAAATTAGTATTACCTTATTGAAATGATGCTGGGAGTATGACTTTCTACCATGCAAGCTAGACCACTTTTGACTGCCACGATTTTGTTGATTTGTAACATATTTTTTTTAGTAATGATCATAGTTGAATTAGTAACATCTCTTATGATGCAGTTGTCACGGTCGTAGTCGAGGTTAAACTAATCCTGGGCCACATTAAAAAATTAACAAATAAATTTTATATATTGTATCCACAATTAAATTTTTAGAACAAATTTTGTTTTAAATAAATATCATCGTGCGATTTTGAATCCTCCTTTTGTGCTCCTCAGGCACATCCTTCCAGGTGTTATAGTGTGGGTCACAGATATCTCTTGTGTGCAAGCCGACAACACTGTCAAAATATGGGGCGTTTTCTCCAATCGTCTTCCACCTACCGGTCTCGTCAAACAAGACAAAAGGCTTTTCATCTCTTTGTACCCTCTCAACTATATCTCGACCTAGAGCTACCTCTCAACTAGATCGACGTTGAGGTGTCGGCTCTGGAACTGTAAGAAAATAAAAATAACGAAATTTAATTATATAGAGTTTGACGAATAAAAAATATCATTTCTGTGTTATAGCATATAATACCTGACTGTCAATGTGCCGGGAGTCTCATCGAATCAGGTGGAGGCTGTGATCCTCTTGCAGAGCCGGCGCATGTAGCTATTGGGCCAGACATCGTGACTCTGTGTCATATAAAAATATATTTTCTTGTGACTATATAGTCACGTTCATAAAGAAAATTTTATAGTTCATGTTTCAACTTTATAAGTTTTATCAACTTTATGAATAATTTATTCTATTATTATTGCATTCATAATGTTTATAATTAATTTTTAATTTACTTTATATTATTATAATTAATTCTTATTAATGAAATTCTTAAAATTAATAGGTTTTGATAAAATTTCGGCAGCATAACAACATATTTTTCTTATTATTCAAAAATTCAAACCTGTAAAAAAAAAGCTTTTAAAAGATTTCGGCACACCACAACTGCAAGATGTGCCACCCAGAATAATCATCAAAACTTTTAATTTTAATCTAAATCAAATTATAATCTCAAAATTTCAACAATCTCAATACCAAATTTCAATAATCTCAAAATTCATAATCCAAAATTCAATATCTATAATCCAAACTTCAAATTATATACTAAATCTAAAATCTATAAATCAAAATTCAAAATCTGAAATCCATAATACAAAATTCAAACAATAAAAAACTCAAACATTTTAAACTAAAAAATACAATAAATATGCAGAAACTTACAAAGTTCAAACCCACTAAAACGAGGGCTGAAAATGGCAACATTAAGGGGGCAAAACACAGCGGCGGCGTACTTTGACGGCGACGGCAGGGAGTTTGTTTTTTAAACTTCTTTTGCTGAAAAAACAATTAAAACTTATCATAATGTTGATTTGGTGAGGATTTAGAAGAGAATAGATGGAGATTTTGGGGGTTTGGGGGTTTGGGGTCAGAAAACCGGGGAGAGGCCGAGAGAGAGAGAGATAGATCAGAAAAATTGGAGGAGGAGGCTCTGGTCGTGGGTATATAGACAGAGTTTTTTACGACGATAAAAAAGAAGATTTGTGACGACATGTCATCGCAAATGTAACTTATAAAACTATTTGTGACGACACATGTCGTCACAAATATAACTTAATTATTTAATATTTATAACGCAGGTTTTGAAATTATTACTTACGACGACATATATTAATGTCGTCGCAAATAAGTTTTGGGGAACCGCCCAATTTTCCCGCCTTTTATTTTAGCAAAGGAATTCAAAATCAGTATTTGCGATGACATGTATTAATGTCGTCGCAAATAAATTTTGGAAACCGCCAAAATGATCCCTTTTTACTTGAGGGACAATAAATAAATGAAATATTTTTTTGCGACGACTTATGTCGTCATAAATAATGAATTACTTGCGACGACTTGTCGTCGCAAATAATGTTATTTTGGCGGCAAATGTTAGCGCCACACAACATTTACCGCCAACTACATATTTACGACGACGTGTGAGTTTTTAGCGATGACAATATTTTCCTGTTGTACGAAATGTATTTGCGACGTTATATCGTCGCAAATAACTGAATATTTACGACGACTGGTGTCGTCGCAAATAATTTCGTTACAAATTGGCCAAATTGTAGTAGTGATATATTTGGATGAAATATATATGAGTGTAGTTTTAATGATTACTCTAATATTTATTTATTGATGGGTATTGTTTTAACCATACGATATTAATCTGAATATTGTAATAAATTGAATAGTTGATCAAAAAAATTAATGAATATTAATGAAATTAGATTTTTAACACGGTACGTCATCAAATTTTTATATTTAAAAGTGACTACCGATAAAAACATAACTATTAAAAACGCGTCCATATATATATAGTACCTGAATACAAATAACCAGTACAAGCTTAGCGTCACTTTAAAAATCTATTAGAACAGATCATTAAGCTGGAAACTATTTCATGCACTCTTCAACAATTTTTAAAAATTACATGTACGTTAAGCACACAATTACCTCATTATTTCAAATGACTAAATACAAACGCAAATAGTCAATTCTCTTACGGATGAGAAAAAACTATGGAGCAATAATATTCGTCCGTTGCTGCTCACGTGGATCTAATAGATTAATAATTAATATATATATATATAATTATATATATGTATGTATATATATAGTAACGTCATCTATAGCATTATTCATGAATAATATTATAAGCTGGTCCTTTTCACGTGGACTGTGGAAATCTGTCTGTCCCATGCTTATGGGGCGACTCCACTGTAGAGAGCGAAATCCATTCCATTCCTTTACATGTCGTCTTTCTCACCTTATTATACCGTATGGTGGTTTTAATTTTGTGGACCCTACTATCCATGAATAACTTTTTTTTTTTTTTTTACCCTGCAACAATTCTGTCACGGTCCAGTTATCGTCTTCAAGTTGAACCCGCCTTTTTCTTCACAGCAGGAAATACCTATTTAATGTTTCTGCCTCCAATTTCTCAGACCAAATTATGAATAAACTTTTCTTTCTTTTCTTTTTCCGTTTTTTTTTTTTGTTTGATTGGCTTGAAGAATTAGGAATTGACTTGTCACTGCTTATTTAATGTTGTGATCTGTCAAGAGTCTGACAGTGTTTGATGTTTCTTGTGTGTGGGAATGAAGATAATCAAGTGGAGAGGAAAGTTTCACAATAGAGACAAGGGGTCTTAGTAAAAGTAAAAAGGAACTGGCTACTGCTCATCATGGTCATATATCCAATCACTTTCTTAATGATCAAACTCTAATAATTCATGTCAATCACGTTTGTTTACCTATGCATGGCATGTTAATAAGTTGCAAATAAAGAAAACTCATCATTATACAAGCTCAAAACTCAGCTCTATTACATCAAGGTATCTTTATAGTAGTACAAGAAGACATTCGTGTATACAAAAAAAGGGGTAAAAAGAAGGGCAACTTTTCAAATCCAAACCAATTCTGGTATTTCACTTTGGACTTTTTGTGCCCAAAAAAAAAGGGAGAATGTGTATATATATAGTACTATAAGATAAGATTAAGCAGATAAGTGGATCGTGCATGATCTTAAAATAAGCCACCTTTTATGATCTGCTCATATAATGCCCACAAGAAGAAGCCAATGAGGGTGTCTCTAATCAAGGACTTGAAAAGAGTAGTGAGCCAAGCATAATTGGAAAAATAGTTATTAGAAGTTGGGGTTTTATTGTTATAAGTTTTCCCAGCGAGATCTCTGAAGCGCAAGTTGCCTTGGTCGGACACCAACGCGTAGATTACACCATTCATGTGGCCCTTGCCGATCACCCCCACAACTCTCTTACTTTTGTTCACAGCTTTGCTACGCTTAAGGGACCACGCTAGATACTGACATACAAATATACATCATGCATGCAGCCACAGACAACACTTAGTGGTGGGACCGGACAGTAGTAAAAAATAAAAACTGGTAACTGATAACTTTTTAGATAGACAAAAGTGAAAACATTTATGGGGTTATATGTTCGGATATATATATATATATATCAAGGGAGCTTCTAGCATTAGAAAAAATAATTATCAGTAGTTATCTATTTTTAACCGTTAAATTTATATAAAAAATTATATGTTATATGTATTTTTTATCATGACGTGATTTTTAATCTGATTTAACAGTCAAAAACTAACATTACATGTAATACTGGCCTATCAGAAAAACTCTCACACATATATATAGATATAGAGAGAGAGAATTTAATGTGTGTTTCAGTGGCTATGGTGCATTCAGAGATGATCAGTACTATAGTCAAGACAGATTTCTTTTTCTGTTTTGTTCTTTGATGTTACTGTGCATTTCACCGGCCCTTGAGTGTGAATTATTTATTATGTCCTTTGTGACTTTTCATCTAAAGGACTACTTACAGTGTCTCTTTCGTGTATAAGAGGCTGGAGAAGTGAAGGGTATGAAAAACTGAGCTGCTCATAGAGTTGTAACGATCTATCAATATCTGTCCTTGATTGGTCCTGCAATATGTATAATATTATTTGCAGGAAGAGAAAATTTAGATTAAAACTAATATTGTATTTTCCATGTTCATCAAAAAAGTATAATAATCTTTATGGTATCGTAAAGATCTGGTTATAACACTTTTCACCTAATTACTCCTTTAGGACGTTATAAAGACTTAATTATATATAATTGTGAAAGAAAGTTGAGGATATATATTTTTCTAGTTCTTTGTGATGAAGTAGAATACAGATAAAAAGAGGAAAAGGGAAAAGGGAAAAAAGACATAAAACCCTACAAATAATGTGGAATGGGAAGAAGAGAGCAGCTTTTTACGGACACACACATATATTATATATATATATATGCTAAACTAAAATAAGTAAAGCTAAGCTAGAATCTGAAAAACTAGATATGTGAAGAACATGGAACGACCTAAAAATTTCGGCACAAGTCAAAAGACGTACGTCAGATCAAAGACGACAGACAAAAATGGTAAAAGTGAAACCTTTATTATATTTTTCTGAGATATATCAGATGGGGAAGTTATCCCACGAACAACTGATGTCACTAAGCTAACTTTCTCAGCCCATGTCAGAGAATTCCATGCCCTCTCAAGCTGCAGCGTGTACAAATTCATATCACATTTCTATTAAAAGAAAAATGAAATTTAAATGTAAAATTTCTAAATATTATATATATAACAAAAAATAAATAAATAAAAAAAGCAGCTCAAAATTTGCAGACATACAGTTATTTCTATTGGCCTATCTCCCAACACTATTTGAGCACCGACTTCTTCAGACGCTTTTCGAGCAGCTCGGAACTGCAATTATTATTCAACACACATCATGATGATCATGATCAAAACATTTCTATTCTTTTAACTTCTCAGTAATTTTTTTTTTTTTAATCATAGAATTGATTTGCTGACATTATCCAGTCAAATTTTTCCTACCTCATCACCAAAAGGTCGGTTGACGTCCGAAGATATCTTTGACGAGAAAACAGCCAAAAGTAGGCGCAATGCCAAAGCAGTTTGACCCCCTAGTGTCAGATTTTTACATAATTGGTATAATTATAGAAAAATAAAATAGCATATTCCTCTATATATAGCTAGTATAATGACAAATACATCATAAATAATGCACTTTTTCTTTTTATAATGAATAATCTTGCTTACCCAAGTCTATGCTACGACCAACGGCACCAAAGAAGCCACTGCCACTCAAAGTGAACATGTTTGATCGTAGTAGCTGCCCTTGTTTATCATCATTATCTTCAGATACGTACATAATCCCAGCTCTGAAATTAGACGTCTCTGCAACAATATCAGTTCAGGTTCGCATTTAAAATTAGAAGAAAAAAAAATTAGAGTATTTTTATTTTTTTAAAAGGTATTTTGATGTCATTCTCTCTCTTTTTTATTAAAAAAAAAAATTAAGAGCGTGTTTACTGTTGTTCTATATCTACTTATGAAATTAGATAAATGAACACTTGAATTAAATATTTTTTTTTATATTGGTATTTAATTAGTTCAGTTCGTGAGAATTAAAATGAGGAAATGAGTAAAATCCATAAACCAATTTTCATTTACTTGCCTGCTTCTGCAGAGCTCAACCACCACATTATCAGGATTTACTGCTCTGACAACACGTTCAACTTCCTCTGCTGATTCTTCAGAAATATGAGTCGTGCCGATCAACCAAATCGCCTCAGGCTCCACGAACTCCGACCGCCAAGACGGGACGGGGCCGAAAAGCCTCTTCTCGATCAACACCAAGCTCCCATTACTCGCCAAATCAAGCAACTCCGGGTGAGTTTTGGCAATTGTGGCAGTGGAAGTTTCTAGAATTTCCGACCTGAAATCGAAGTCCGGCGGCGGGGCTTTGACGGAAACTCTGTAGGGCTTTAGAGGCTTGGATTTCAGCAAAACTGGGTTGGAGTGGAGTATCGGAAAAGTTGATGAATTCAGAGTTTCCATGGATGAGACTAAGAGAGGCATATGGAGTTTTCTATGTTGTTTTGCTTTCAGTTCCACAGAAATATGATCCGTTTGTGTATACTTGAGGATAAGGAAACTTTAACTTTGTTTAATTTTTTTTTTTTTTTTTTGGGCAACTTTTATGTGGGCTAGACATTAGGTAATTTTATTTTAACTATTAGATTAATTTTTAATGTCTAATATGTAGATGTCCACAAATAAAATTTGAATCACGTCATACCAATCCTATAAGTTTTTTCTTTTCTTGTTAATTTTAACTGTCACGTAAATTAGGAGGAAAGGAAATTAACTGTCAAGGATACGGATTAGGAAAGTTACATGTTCACCTGCGGGTGACAAAGGTGGGTCGTTTAAGGAGGGAGGAAATAATGAGTGGGGAAAAGAGAAAAAGATATAAAGAAAGTGATATGACATTTGAGAAACTTGGTACATGTGGGCAAACTTTAAGAGGAATGATAGTGACTTTCGAAGGTCCTCCATATCATTATTATGCTCTTAACAAAAGCCATGTTTATTTGAGAATTTTCTTAAATTTTCTTAATTATATGGAAAATTAAGAATATATTTTTTCTTATTTTCTTAGGGAAATTTATTTTGCATTATTATTGTATTTTCTTTCGAAAACAAAAAAGGTACGATATTAAAAAGATACTTTTATTTGTCTCCAAATTGTCAAATTTCAATTAATATAGCCTCATGTTTATAATTTTTTTTAAAAAATTCCAATTGACATTGAAATCTAATAGTCAATCATATGGTATGATACCCAATACTTTTTTATATGATAATGTTAAAATTACAAGTCAAAGTTGGTCAAATAGAGTCTCTTGATCATGAGTATATATGTGTATGAGAACCCTATATTATTAATTACTCTCTTTGACGATTCAGAATAACCTAATAGTCTTTAACATATTGGTGTATTATATTCTGACAGCGCTCAATAATAGAATCACATACCTTAGGGACCCATTTTCAATCTCTGTTACCATTATTTGTCTATATCGAACTTTATCTTCTCTTTTTGAAAAAAAAAAAGTACTTTGTTTTGTTGGTCAAACATTTGAATATCTTCGTAGTTTTGAAAAACGAAGAGCATTCAAAATTCAAAAAAGAAAATGAAGGAAAAATAAGTACTAAATTTTGAATAACAAGTCACTAATTTTAATTTTAGACTACTTCAGAAGGTTATAAATTAATTGTAATTAACATAAACGAAGGTGGATGAGGATCCAATATAAAAGGTCTTAATTTGGTGTGGAATTGTAGTGCACATGACCTTGCGCGTTATACTTATATATTATATTCTTTTATAAGTGATTTAATTTGGTGTAGAATATGGTGTGCATCTTGTGTTATGGTTTGGTTATGCATAAATGCGTATGGGCAACACTTAACTTTTCGCATTAGCATAACAATATATATATATATATATATATATATCCATGTACCCAAATTATGCCCATCACTTCCATAATTAACATCATGTAGAAATTAAAACACAAAAATCGCACTTCATTGAATGTACTAATCGCCAACTTACTCCAACAACAGTTAATGAAGACGCTCGCTTCCCTACTTATTAAAAAAGTTAGCCCCATTAAGGCCAGTAAATATATATACATATATATATCACCAATTAACTATAACATACGACTTAATTAAAAAAAATTTGTTATTATAATTTGGAGCTTTCAATATCAAGGTATATATCATATTGCTATATGTATTATTTTAAAACGTTAAATCTGATCACAAATGAAAATATATACTAACAGAATTCTCAATTCTAACTTATCATTAGAAAAACAGATGTATAGAAAATAAAGGAATGCAAACGCAGGCCCCATTTGTTCTGTTGGTTCGAATTACTAATCAGTTTTTTCTACGGTGTTTTCTCTTATAAAAATTCAAATTTAACATTTTGGGCTACAATATTTTCTCTCATATAAATTACTTTTCAATTTAAGTTCTCAACTCGAATCAGCAAGACAAACGGGAGCATGTGCAAGTGTATAAACAACTTAAATAAAAATTGAAAAGCAGTAAGTGGTAAGCATGACCTACTTTGATTTAATTACGATCACGATCATGAACAAGTACTTCAAAAAGTAGTACTGATCTAAATCAGCCTACCTAATAATAAATTATGAAAAGACAAAGGAATTAACTGGTTTATGATCTTCTTCATGAATCACGACCGAGTAGACATTACCATTACAGCTAATCGCTAGCTAGATTTTTGAGCCCCCTTATATATGTGTGCGTGTATGTATATATATCGTGGGGCTAATACGTGTGCGCTCTCTGGCCTCAACCTCACATCAAGTCTCTCTGGCATTCAAACTATCAACATTAAAACCGCACGATACATTACAATAAAAACCTAAATAAGAACTAGCTGGTCCGCGATTTTCCCACGCTCTTTCCTACATATTGATTTCCCTTTCGGCTCTAACTTTAAAACCCATATAATATATATACATATACATATATATATATATATATATTGAAGGAATCTTCTCCAAGTTCGTTTATACTCCCATGTGCGAAATGGTAGATATCTATAAACAATTTTGTATGAAGTACTACTTGTATGGCTAATCCTCCAACAGACGTGCCCAAAAGTGACCAACCACCAAACCCATCTATATCACTCATTGTCCCTCTCCCTACTTCTGACCCTGACTCTTCTCCTTCTCCTCTTCATGATCATCATGAGCACCAAAAACCACCGGGTCGACCCCAAGACCGGCCTCCTCCTCCTCCTCTGCCGCCGCAGCAGCAGGGGCCGGTTCTATCCCCACGAGGAGGCGCGGCGGGCTCGGTGCGGCGGCACCCGGTGTACCGGGGGATCCGGTGCAGGAGCGGGAAATGGGTGTCGGAGATTCGGGAGCCCCGAAAGACGACGCGCATATGGCTCCGGCCGCAGCCCACCCCCCACATGGCGGGGGGCGGCGCCGCCGGCGCGGGG